CTATTTATGAGAATAGAGTACAATATGACACTTGGAGCTCTGCAATCAAAGTTCTACACACAACATACTTGGAGTATTATTAGATATGCACCAAGCATTTTTCAATGAGCCAGAAGCAACTGTAGCGCACAGGGTTTTTTCACAACATCATCTGGTACACCAAGTGTGTTGTTTGCTTGATAGAGAGAGATTTCGGACAGCACTCATGCTCTAGTCCAGGGGTGGGCAATTAATTTTTCTAAGGGGACACATGAGAAACTGATATTGTTGTGGAGGACCATTGCTGCCTGTCCCCCTCACCGCCACTGCCCTGCTCCTGCTCACTGAAGCACCCACCCCTTGTTGATTCCTCTCTTTCACCAATGTCATTCGGCCTCTGGCTGCCCCCACCCTTCCAGGACCACTGGCATCATGGGCTAGATAGGGACAGTCAAAGGGACACATTTAGCACCAAAAAGGGAGAGAAAAAGGTATGCATAGTATGCCTTGGCAAGATTGTCTCAGTACCAATTTGTTTATTAGAAAATATGAAGGCCACAGTTAGCAAATCTGGATTAATATTTATTTAAACCCCGGTTTGCATATTCAAACAGGTATATATACAACAGAATGGGGGATAGTAGTCACTTCATGGCTTAACCTAATGCAACAAGCTCTACATGGGGCTGCCCTTGAAGAGCATTCAGAAGCTTCAACTGATCCATAGTACAGCGATACAGCAATGATGGCCATGCCTCAGTAAGCCCTCACGAGCATGGTGACTTGAGAGACCATCTACTGTAGCTCCTGTGGCGTCTATTCAGCTGATTCAATCTGACAAAATTAATATGCTCCAGATTCCTTCAATCAAGCAGTGCCATGCCACCAGGACCCCTGAACTGTGTCTCCTTTGTTGTAGCACCTGCCTTATGGAATGAGGTTCCTACTGAAATCTGCCTAACTCACCAACCTGATGATGTCCTGCAGAGCCTTTAGGCCTGACTGTTTTCTCAAACTCTGAGCTAGTTGAACCCACTCCAGTGGTGGGATTCAGCCAGTTCGCACCTATTCGGGAGAACCGGTTCAAACAGGTATATATACAACAAAATGGGGGATAGTAGTCACTTCATGACTACTGTACCTGAGAGACCGCCTCCTGCCGATTACCTCCCTCAGACCGATAAGATCTCACAGGTTAGGTCTCTTCCGGATTCCATCTGCCAGCCAACGTCGGCTGGCGACTCCCCGGGGGAGAACCTTATCTGTTGCAGCTCCAGNTCTGTTTTTGAAAAAACGGCCTATTTTTTGCCCGTTTTTCACCCAAACAGGGCATTTTTACCTTCCCCCAGCCCCAATGAACCCTGAAGAGTGTTTCTGGGGGCTGAAGGGAGGCAAAAATGCCTCCGTTTTTGCTAAAAATGGCCCATTTTTTGCAAAAAAGGGATGCGGGGGGAGGGGGGCTTGGAGAGGCCAAAAATGGCTGTATTTGGTGTATAAGACGTACCAACATTTCCATGCTCTTTTAGAGGGATGGAAGGTTCATCTTATACGCTGAAAAATACAATATACCCCATTGGGAATGGGGAAATAACCTACAATAGCCAACCTGGTTGGCTTCTATACAGTGATCCTTGACTTATGGCAATAATGGAGCCTGGAATTTCCATCATCGGCCATGACAGTTGTAAATCAAGGACTTCACGTGACTGATCTGATTTTATGAGCTTTTTTATTGGCCACTGTTCAGCGGGAGTGGTAGTTGGGAAGCAAACGCTGCAGTCACAAAGAGAGTCCATTCATTCCTACAGGCAGTTTAGGACTGAAACTGGCTGAAAAGGGCAGGGAACCTTGTAAATCACAGTCACATGACTGGGGAATCCTGCACCCAGCCATAAAAGTGAGCCAGTTGCCAAGTGCCTAAAATATGGTCATATGGTTGCCTGGTGTTTACGCCTGTACCTGTTGGAACTCTGGAACGGAGTCCTTAACCACCCTTGAGCAGGGGTGAAATCAACTTACCTTTGCTACTGGTTTGCAAACGTGAGGGCACACACTTGCACAGAGCATCAAAAATGGGACGTGATGACATCCAGGTGGGTGGGCGGAGCCTCCCGATGCCACCGCTAATGGTTCGCCCGAACCAGACGGAACTGGCTGAATAGCACCACTGCCTTGGGGGGGGATCTGTCATGACTTCAAATGGTCATCAAGTGTTAAGCAAGGACTTGGTGAATGTGGAAGGGAGAGGTTCAGTACAAGTAGTCCTCATCTTACAACAGCTCATTTAGTGACCGTTCGAACTTACAGCGGCACTGGAAAAAGTGACTCACAGATATTTTTCACACTTATGACCATCCAGATGCTTGGCAACTGACTCACATTTATGACGATCATAAACTCGCATTGATTTACGTCAATGGGGAAGCCATGTCCCCTTAAGCACCCTGTGACAAAGTTAACAACTGCAGTGATTCACTTAACAAATGTGACAAAGTAGGTGGTAAAATGGGGCAAGACTCACTGAGCAAAATGCGCACTTAGCCACATCGATTTGGGGCTCCGTTGTGGTCGTAAGGTCGAGGACTACCTGCAGAAGTTAAACCTTCTTAATTGATCTTTTGGTGTGTTGCATGAACACTCTTTAAATATGGAATAGCCATTCTCTTGGTGATGAAAGAATTACTGCATTAGTTCAGATATTGGCTGGGTTGAGACATTGGTAGCTGAACGAGCACGGTGCATTTGATTTCCAAGATTGAACTTTTTGGCTTCAGACCTAGGTCCTTTTTCTGGATTTTAACTGGATGCCGTAGCTGCAACCTGAACCAGGCCAAAACAACTTGACCTGAGTTATTCTCCTTTTGCTGGCAGCTGGCAAGATCAGCTACTGTAAAGCATTAGATGTGAAACTTCTCTTGAAGAGTGTGCAGGAGTGGCAGCCTGCTCCAAACTACAGCAGCTCAGCTTCGGCTAAATCCGCCAAGCAAATCACTGAGAACCTGTTTTTGCTGTTATTTTAAGACTTTTGGGAACACCCTGACCATTTCTAAGGTGGTTTTCACACCAGCAAATGTCCTGCATAGCGTGGGACTCAAAAAAACAACCACCACCACCACCAACCCAGAATGAATGTCTGCTCTTGTGTTAGTCTGCCTGTGTGTGTTGCTTCTCCAAGTTCTTTTGCTGTTTAAGGGTGGGTGGAAACCAGAGAAAATTAATCTCTCTCTCTCTCTTTATTGGGACTTATAGATAATTAGTTAAAAAAGATTTGTGGCAGGTTGATATTGTATATGCAAGTGGTTCTCGATCTTTCCTTCACCACAGATCTCCTGCAAATACCTTTTGTGGCCACGAACCATGGCCACTCAAGATTTAACTCAAGATTTAAAGCCCCAGGTTGCATCAAGCCTTCATGGACACCCTGTGATGATATCACAATCTCCTGGTGGCCTGGGGATCACAGGTTGAGAACCACTGGTCTATGGTACTTGAGACATGACTTTACCACCAGTGGTAGGATTCAAAATCTTTTTACTACCAATTCTGTGGGCATAGCTTGGTGGGCGTGGCAGGGGAAGGACGCTGCAAAATCTCCGTTCCCTTCCCACTCCAGGGGAAGGTTACTGCAAAATCCCCATTGCCTCCCAATTAGCTGGGACTCAGAGGGCAGAGAATAGATGGGGGCAGGGCCAGCCTGAGGTGGTATTTACCGGTTCTCTGAACTACTCAAAGTTTCTGCTACCAGTTCTCCAGAACTGGTCAGAACCTGCTGAATACCACCTCTGGTTTCCACTGTATACATGCAGATATCAAATTATTTGAAGCCAAGCCCATAGCACAATGTCTTTAGGGTGCCCAGCTGGGGCCCCTTATCCAATTTTAGATCGTTAGAATTTGCAGAATTCAAATTTCTTAAGATCATCCATTCAACACGCAAAATATATCTTAATACCACTCAGAAACCAGAGACAGGCCTCATGAAAGTGGCTAGGTAGGAAGTCATTCATGTATATCTCAACATTATTTTTCTTCCTCTTTCTTTCTTTCTTTCCTTCTTTCCTTCTTTCCTTCCTTCTTCCTTTTTCTTCCTTTTTCTTTCTTTCTTTTCTTTTTTAATTTGTCTTTTATTATAAATATAGAGAACAAAAACCTCATTTGTCAAAACTTGCTTTTTCTGGCCTGATTCTTCTAGCATCCCACAAAGATAGGATGATTCACCTGCAAGCTCAAATCACTGTAGGTAAAACTTGCAGGTCATCATACCAAAGTGGGTATCTCAACCTCTCTTAACCAACAATTAATTTGATTGCAAATCTGTATGTACTTGGTGGGCACGTACACCATTAGGATGATTGCTTGCCCAGTCAACTAGATGTTTTGGCTGGATTTAGCATTTTTATCCACCTACCAAGTCCTTCCAAGAACCTATTATTATTTTGTTGTCGATGACCACAAAACTAACTGCAACACTAAAACAACCCATTCAAACAGGCTCAAATGCAACAAGAGCCAATAAGCCCACTATAAAGACACTTGAAATGTGTGTGTATAAGAAGCAAACAAAGGAGACCACAATAAAACAAAGCAAAATGAAATAAATAAAGTAAAAGTAAAATTGAGTTCAAAGAATAAAATGACTTCCTTGGGACGTCACTCCAAGATTAGGGCCCCTTAAGCTTCCTATGGCAATAGCTGCCCTTTACACACACGCGCACACACACAAAGTGTATAGTTACCATGTACCACATTTCGGGCCAAGATGGGTCATTGAACGAAACGAAACGGTGGTTCCGACGGACTCGCCTTTTAACTCTTGCTTTAACCTCTTGTTGCTGCATCCACTTTACCTAGAGAACGATAAAACAGTTGCGTTTGTCCCTTTTTGCTTTCTCTTATAAAGATCTGCTTCCTTAGAACAGGGTATTTGACAGCTCAGTTTTTACTTTTGGCTCATCGATGGCTCTCGGTTAAGGTAATTGAATAACAACAAAGAGGGGGACATTAAAAGATCAAAGTGAATCTCATTCATCAGTAAAAACAATCCCCAGAGCAGCAGTAGCTCTTAGTCTTTAAAATGAGACAAGAGAAAAATATCTAGTGCAGTGTTTCTCAACCTTGGCGACTTTAAGTCCTGTGGACTTCNCTGAAGGTGCACAGAATGCTGTTCCCTTCCCACCAAAGGTGGTCCCTATTTTTCTACTTGCATTTTTACATGCTTTCGAACTGCTAGGTTGGCAGCAGCTGCGACAAGTAACGGGAGCTCACTCCATTGCATGGTGCTAGGGATTCAAACTGCTGCATTACCGACCTTTCTGATCAACAATCTCAACATCTTAGCCACTGAGCCACCACGTCCCAACCAATACTTCACTAGCTAACTACAAAAACAGAGGCATAAAGTAAAAGGCAGCCCAATTCCATTCTTAATGGGGAGTGGTAGGAGAGAGAGAGAAAAAAAATGGAACACACTTATTTTCATTGCTTGGATCATAGCGCGGAGTTGGATCTTCATCATTTCCATTGACATCATAGCTTGCATGGGGGTCCTAAGGGAGGAAAAAGAAATAACCTAAAGCACAGCCAAAAAGTAAATCAGAAACAAGACACAAGGAGCAATGGATGGAGATCAAATGAGATCTAACCTAGAACGGAGGAGAAACTGCCTAACAGCGAAAACAATTAACTAATGGAATGGCTTGCATTCAGAAGTTGTGGGTGCTTCATCAATGGAGTTTTTTAAGAGATTGGACGGACATTTGTCTGGAATGATCTCCTGCTTAAGCTGGGAGTTTTTATTTATTTTCACTTATTTGATTTGTCAATCATTTACAAAGTAATAGGTATAAGACATGAGTATGAATTAAATGGGTACGAATCAATGGGGACAATAGTACAGGGATGGTAGGCATACTGGTGCACTTATGCACACCCCCTTACAGACCTCTGAGGAATGGGGTGCGGTCAACAGTAGCCAGTCTAAGGTTGAAGCTGTGGGGCATGGAAGATATAACAAAAGAGTTAAGTAGTGCATTCCAGGCATTGACCACTCTGTTGCTGAAATCATATTTTCTGTAATCAAGTTTGGAGCAGTTTACATTGAGTTTGTATCTGTTGTGTGCTCTTGTATTATTGCAGTTGAAGTTGAAGAAGTCATTGACAAGTAGGACATTGTAGCAGATAATTTTGTGTACTACACTTAAGTACGACAATAGGCGGCGTAGTTCTAGGTTTTCCAAGCCCAAAATTTCAAGCCTGGTGGTGTAGGGTATTCTATTGTGAGCAGAGGAGTGTAGTACTCTTCTCATGAAATACTTCTGGACTCTCTCAATTGTATTAATGTCCGATATACAATGTGGATTCCAGACAGATGAGCTGTATTCAAGAATTGGTCTAGCAAAGGTTTTGTATGCCCTAGTTAGCAATACAATATTACTGGAGGAGAAGCTTCGTAAGATTAGGTTAACAATTCATAATGCCTTCTTGGTGATGCCGTTACAGTGAGCTCTAGCACTTAAATTGTTTGCTATGAGTCCTCCAAGATCCTTGACAGAGTGAACTTGACAGAGTTGGACGAGAAGACCTCCAAGCTCCCTTCCAACTCAGTTATTCTGTAGAAGCTCTTTTTCACTCTGCTTATACTCATGTTCTTCTTCCAAAGATCTCAGAAGGTTTTTACAGGATTCCCATCTCTGCATCAAGACTTGTTCAGACTAGCTACACTAGATTACTTAAAAACAAGCTTTGCTGCATCCAACAGGACGAGTCATTCTCTGGCTTGCTTATTTACTGGTTCAAAGCCGTTTGCAAAAAAAGAAAACGGATTTCTTGAGCTGAAAGAAGCTCTCAGAGAAGTTCACCGCTCTCGAATATCCAAGCTAGAAGAACCACACAAGAAGTGTGTGTAGTGCTGGAAACGAAAGCAGCCTAAGTCCTTTGGGAATGGCATGGACCTTAGCTGGTCATCAGTTCCTTGAAATAATGGTGCTTTTTCCCAGACTTGCAGCTGTCCAAGCTCAGGAAAATACTTGTTTCAGATGCATTACAGAGGTAACCAGTGGCTGTGTGCTGTATTGCTGTTCTGTTGCATCCCCTTAACTCAAACAAGAATGTACAGAAAGCAGAGCTCATATCAGATCCAAGGCACTTTGGACTGCTTTGCATCCAAAAATTGCCTCCCTCTACACCAGGGGTGACAAACTCAATTTCCTTTGAGGGCCGCATCAGGGTTGTGTTTGACCTTGGAGGGAGGGGGGGAAGGGCATGGTGGGTGTGACCATGGTGGGCATGGCCAGCTCGACATTACTCAGGTCGAGGGTGGTGATGCCTCTGGTGGTCCGAACGGCCTGCCAACGAAAATGGGCTCCTGAGCACCATTTTCGGCTGCGACAGCCTCCTGAAATCCTCTGCCAGGGAAAATGGAGCTCGGGAGGGCCGCCATGGCGCAGTAGTTAGAGTGCAGTACTGCAGGCTATTCCTGCTGACTCCTGGCTGACTGCAATTTGGCAGTTCGCATCTCAACAGGCTCAAGGTTGACTCAGCCTTCCATCCTTCCTAGGTGGGTAAAAGGAGGACCCAGATTGTTGGGAGGCTAACTCTGTAAACCGCTTAGAGAGGGCTGTAAAGCACTGTAAAGTGGTGTATAAGTCTAAGTGCTATTGCTATTGCAGAGGCACTGCGGGCCGTTCCTTTGCTGTTTCCAGGGCGGCCCTGTGAGCCACATCTAGGCACCCCATGGGCCAGATCTGGCCCCCAGGCCTTTAGTTTGATACCCCTGCTCTACACAACATTCAAGAAAAAAGAAAGATGGACAAAAGACAAGAGAGTAAAACTGCAAACTTAGGTACTCCTAAAGCAATTGTTCTAACACCCTCCTTGTTATGGGAATTCAGTTGCAGACTAGGTGACAGAAGTGCTGGGTCCTGGGTGAGAGCCTGCTCCATTTCTCCCACTCTCATGGAGACTACCAGAATATTCTGGAGACAGAGAAAATCCATGATGATGATGATGATGATGATGATGATGATGATGATGGGATGCAGTATGAGCCCAGCAGCTTGGTAGAATAAACTTTTGGTTCCGGTGAACAACTCAAGATTGGATCCTGTGATACTATCCAAGGACTAGGTATATTTATCTTCATTCACTACCAGAATAACTGCCTTGATTCTTTTCTGCTGAGATAATGCAAAGTCAGCTGGCATCATAGAATCAAGATCATGCGAAGTGTTAATACCACTTTATAATGCTTTGGTAAGGCCACGCCTGGAATACTACATCCAGTTTTGGTTGTCACGGTGTAAAAAAGATGGTGAGACTCTAGAAAGAGTGCAGAGAAGGGCAACCAAGATGATTAGGGGACTGGAGGCTGAAACACATAAAGAATGATTGCTGGAATTGGGTATGTCTAGTCTTATGAAAAGAAGAAGTAGGGGAGACATGATAGCAGTGTTCCAATATCTCAGGGGCTGCCACAAAGAAGAGGGAGTCAAGCTATTCTCCAAAGCAGGGAGAATTGTCCTGAGGGCAGGACAAGAAGCAATGGGGGAAAACTAATCCAGGAGAGAAGCAACCTAGATTCCTGACACAGCATTTAACCAGTGCTGCAAGTTTTTAAGCAGACATTGGATAACCATTTGTCTGAAATGCTATAGGATTTCTTGCCTAATCAGGGGGTTGGACTAGAAGACCTCCAAGGTCCCCTCCAACTCTGCTTATTCTACTCTCTTCTAGAGCGTAGCAAACTTTCCTGCTTCTTTCTCTTGTATTGTACAAGTAGACAACAAAAGATGTGTGCCAAGACCCTCCCATCTTTACTTACATAGTTCTGTACAAGATCGGGGTGATTCCTCTCTATGCCATCATCAAGGATAGTCACTACGACACCTTTGCCGGTGTATCCTCTTTGCCAAGCTCCCAGAACATTCATTTCGGACCTGCATTGGCTGTTGTTGTCTTCGCAATGCTGAGAACAAAGAGAGTAGTGAGTAAGCTGTTCCTTCCCATACCTGTCACATTCAAGTCAGAAAGACGATAGCTACTCTGGATTGGAAAATGGTAGGACCAGCCCTGGATGAGATAAAGGAAGCCACTGCCCCAGGCAGTAGAAGCAATTGTGTTGGTTCAGCTGCGACTCTCGAGTCCTCTGCTCTTCCCATTTCTTGGAGAGATTTCTGTGTCCCACATCTACCTTGGCACTTGGCCTATGATAAAAACTACCGGATTTTTTGGACTTGTGTGTGTATAAGATGCACCAAGATTTCAAAGAGGTAAGTAAGAAAAAAAGTTTTTCTCCTCCCTGGCCCCCAGGAACACTCTGCAGGATTCAGCAGGGCTGGGGGAAGGCAAAAAAAGGCTCTGTTTTTGAAAAAACGGCCTATTTTTTGCCCGTTTTTCACCCAAACAGGGCATTTTTACCTTCCCCCAG